CTGTGCCTTGCCACAATTCTGTCTCTGAGCTCTTCAGGCAGTTCCTTTGACCTCATGATTCTCATTTGCTTTGACATGCACTGTGAGCTGTAGGGTCTTATATGGGCAGGTGTGTGGCTTTCCTAATCACATCCAATCAGTATAATCAAACACAGTTGGACTCAAATGAAGGTGTAGAACCATCTCAGGGATGATCAGAAGAAATGGACAGCACCTAAGTTAAATATATGAGTGTCACAGCAAAGGGTCTGAATACTTATGACCATGTGATATTTCAGTTTTTCTTTTTTAATAAATCTGCAAAAATGTCAAAAATTCTGTGTTATTCTGTCAATATGGGGTGCTGTGTGTACATTAATGAGAAAAAAATGAACTTCAATGATTTTAGCATATGGCTGCAATATAACAAATAGTGACAAATTTAAGGGGGTCTGAATACTTTCCGTACCTACTGTATCCCCCAGGCAGGGCAGCTGGCAGCCATTGATTATTTGTGCTGTGGAGATCACTCTTGGGAGAGCCTTCCTGTCTGGAACTGAAGAGCATGACAGGGACAGGTTGAATAACTTTGTGAGGATCCCTGCCAGCTGATCTGCACGGGCTTTTATCACCTTATCTGGGATGCTGTCTGGTGCTGCACCCTTTGCACATGTAGCTTAATGTTGTTAGGATTGCTTAGAGCTGTTACCTCCAAGTTAGCCACAGAGCTCTAAGTAGTAGTATAGTTTTAGATGATCAGTGATTGGATAAGGGCATCTCTTGTAGTGTTTTTATTGCACAGTTGACAAAGGTGCTGTGAAGACAAACTTTACATTTAAACAGTATATGAACAAACAATACTTGATTGCTGGTAACAGAATATGTAAAACTTTAACCCATTGGGGAGGGTCTTTCCACAGCATTTTATGGTGTTTGTTGTATCCAGGAGTCCTAAAAATAAAAGTTTAAGTTAAAAAAAAAAACCACATCACTCCAGGCCACATTCACTGTGGGTTAACTTTTATTTCCAGAGCAACTTAAAGACTAATTCATACGCAGCCATCATTAACACATAAGACAATACACAATATTCACCATTACTTTGTTCATCATTACCAAATATGTGCAGCTCAGACGTCCAGTGTATTACAATGTACTCAAAATAGATTGTGAAAACAAGGAAACTCATATAAACATAAGCACCCCCCCCAAAAAAAATCCTTAGAAAAATTATTTAAAAACTTTGAGTTACAAAATATTTGCACTTAAAAAGATCCCAGCATTTTAAATAAATAAGATATATAAAACTCATATTCATAGTTGATATCCTAAAATATTTCCTCTTTGTTCAGAAATGCAGAGGAAATGATTCCCTTCTCTTGGTTAACATTTAAATCTTCTCAGGTAGTATTTTGAAATGAAACAAATATTTGATGAATAATAAATAGGCCAACATAATACAGCAGACATGATTAAAGTTATTAAACCAACATTTGCAACAGACCTAAATAGTTACACAACAATTTTAAGAATGAATTTACAAACTAGTCCTGCAGGTGCAACATCACTATGCTCATAAAGAACACTATCAACATTATTAAGTGCAAATGGGACATGTTCACTACTAACGGAATCTGCTCAGGCTATATATTGTACTCTTAGGCCCGTGTTTATTAAGCATCTCAGAGTAAGAACTCATTCCCAATGGACCAAAATTTCTCAGAATGACACATTTCTGGTCCTACTATTAGGATTAGACATAAAAGCATTTGATCAATATTCTTAACCTAGGAAATCACTGCTGTCACCATCAAAATGTAGGAGAGCTTAATAGGCATTGTAAATAGGTGATTCCAGGAAGTGGTGCTCAGAGGTATGTTTAGATTCTGGAAGAGGAGAGGATTTACTAACACTTCATGGTGTAACACTGAGCTCATAATGAGATGCCATGTGGCCAAAAATTTAGGAGTTCTGTGACAAATCTTGTGCAAGATCCAATTGCACCATCAACAAGAACAACACATGGTGTCAAGCTCATTAAAACCTAGATTCTCAAACTACTGTACAAGTGCCAGTGGTGGTATGTCTGCTCCCTCTAGTGGTACACAGGAACATCTAAGATATTTTTATGCTGTGTGCTACAAGCTAATTAACTGTTAGGAGTATTAGCCTAATGTTATGAGCTAAACTGCGATGACAAGTGAAAGTAGCAAAAATGGTGATTTCGAAAACACTGCAATTGTGGCTCTGTACAGGAAGTATTAGGAAGAGAAGTGCGGGGAATATTTCAAGCAGAAGAACAGAAACTGAACTGGATGACAGTGAGTCCAGCACAATGCTAGCGGCGAAATCAGCGACTGTAGCAGCACCAAAAAAGTATCCACAGCAGCTGCTAGTAGCAAAAGGTGTAAAAAAAAAAAAACACGAGGACCTGAGGTAGTCCAAGTTCACATTTCATTCTTGTGTTACACCCATAGTCAAAGCACAAGAAGCTTCATTTCATGGCATCCTCTGTATAGCGAAAGCCAGGAAGCCACACAGAACTGGCAAACAACTGTATCTGCCCTTAGCCAAAGAGGTAACAAATAGCATGTGGGGAGAAGGCTGTCAAACAGCTAAATCTGGTGCCACTTTCAAATGACACACTGTCACGGACAACGGGCCATGGCAGGGGACATTAAAACACACTGAGTGAACGCATTAAAAGTAGCCACTATTATTCCATCCAGCTAGATGAGATTACAGATGTGGCAGATTTGATAAAATTTTTTGATTAGGCTGAGCACATTTTCCAGCTCTTGGATGCCTTTTTCAAAGAGAATGGGCTCGATTGGAAAACACATGTTGGAGTGTGCAGAGATGGCACCATAGTAGAGTAGCAGCCTGAGTTCCCAAATTAGAGCTGGCATCCTAGATGCAATGGACTCACTGCAGCATCCATCACAAGGCCCTGGCAGTGAAGAAGGTGCCCAAAGAACTGGAGTCTGTGCTAGACTTGGCTATGAGCTTCATTAAGGCCCGACTGATGAATTTTCATGTGCTTTGTGATGAGATGGGCAGCCAAAACCTTTGACTTCTACTTCATACATAAGTAATACGGCTATCAAGAAGAAAGGTGCTTTTGAGGCTTTTCGAATTGCACAAGTCCAAATGTTCTTACAGGACAAAAGCTTCTCCCTATCAGATGTTTTTGAAGACACTGTGTGGCTCTGTCAGCTGGCAAACCTGTTGGACATTTTTAAATGAGCTGAAGTTGGACCTACATGGACTGTCCAATGTTTTTGATGTGCAGGACAAAATCAACACAATGCTGAAAAAAGATGGAGTTGTTTGAAGTCAAGGTCACAGGGCTGTGTTGACAGAGGCAGGCTCACCCTTCTCATTAGGCATATGTAGGTAAGTTGTCAGTAGTCCCCGACTTTTCACTCTATTTGTATTCAGCCTAAATTGTCTCACTGATTGTTGGTATACAAATGTTATTCTCACTTGTGGGTGTTTGAATGCAGTGCAGTTGTTGATATTCTCACTTGCTTTACGTGTTTGAATGCAGTACATTTGTCATCAATACCCAGTTGTCAAATACTTTGTGTTTGAATGCAGTACAGTTGTTCTTCATATTTTCATTTGCTGTGAGTGTTTGCAGTAGTTATCTTAATTTTCTCACCTCACTTGCAGATGTTTAAAAGAAGTACAGTTGTGACTGTGGATGACAGTGAATAATAAATAATATTCTTATTGGGAATACATTTGCTTCCTGGGTGAACTGTGTATTGATGATTAGGCCTATGGTACTGTGTTTTAAGGCTGGCCATACCGGGGTTACTTGGAGAGGCAAATATTTTTTTTGACATGCTACCCAGTGTAAAAGGTTTGAGAGCCACTGCATTAAACACTACATAGTCACATTACATCATTATTAACAGTAAAGCTACAGACTTGCACCAATGGCACATGCAGATGAGGATTTAATAAACAGCTTTATACACTATTATAGGAATAAATAAAATTGTTTGATCTGACTGATGAGAATAATTTCTCTTGACTGAGCACAATTGTGAGTGGCTTTCCAATAAACCTACAGCCTCCTACAGAAGCAGACTTGATAGCATATTAATACATATTTTAATAATTACCTTTTGTTACCTGTGGTTTTAATGCCTTCATTTGAAAAGTGGTGGTGTTAATCTTTCTATTTTCAACGGTCTAAAGCTACAGTTCAAACTTCATCTCCTAAGAGAAAATACATTTCTTTATAATATCTTCTTTGTGACAAACTATAACGTCACACTTGTCCTTAGGAGTAGGTTTTGGTGAATGTGAGATTACTCAAAGGTAGTTTTTTAACAGCTTTGATTGGCAGCCTGATTCCGTGTCTCCTCCTTTGGTTGCTACTGGGCAGAATCTGGTTGCAAAATAGGTCACAAAAGCGAGATGACTACCCCCATATTTGAGATATTTTGGCTTCACTTTTGTATAGTGGCAGAAGGTGGCGATGTGTTCTTCAATTTTATGTGTAGTCTGTGGAGATGCTTGATAAATACGAGCCCTGACTGTTTTGCACTCTCTTTGCCAGTCTGTGTATACCTTGAGATGCCCTTGCCTACAATAAGTTTGATTCCAGTGTGCTACCACACTCTAATCTGTTCACACTCATACCATCATAAAGAAACATGCAAACAGGAAACAAATGCAAAGAAGAGATAACAGTTCCAAATGAGTAGAATTACATACATTACCTAAAGGGTTTGGGAAGAAAAAGTTATGTTTCACTCCAATGGCCCACCCTCTGTGCTCCCCCTTGCCCATCTGTCACACCTCGATGCCCTTCACTGCCTGGTTGATGGACTCAAGCAGAGCCCGGTTCTCAGGGTTCTGGTAGCAGTCTTTATTGGTAAACATATGGGTCAGGGTTTCCACATAGCTGTCGAAGTTCTGCTCTGACAGTGGCTCCCGCTGAACACATACAAAATTAGTCAGAAAATATAAATCCTGTCCACAAAGTTTAAGACAAGTCAGATATTTTGTACCTTGAAGCCTTTAGGATTCCGGGTAGTAAACATACTTATTACTCTTCACCCATGAAATAAAACAATGCTAGTCATTCTGTCAACATCTAAGCATGCTGGTGGATGTTTCTAACTTATGATCTGTCAGCATTCCACCACATACATAAAACTAGCATGAGAAATTTTTTTCTGAGATGTTTGTGTGTACAAGAATCAAATTAAATTCAATGTAAAAGTATAGCACTGAGCCAAAAATGTAAAATTTTATGTTAAGATTTCAAGCATTGAGGTACAATTACACTAATGATTTTGCATAGACATAGGCTACTAATCTAAAAACCTCATGTTGGGAATCATGAGACAGTAACACCCATAACCATAGTAACTCACTCTCTCTCCTGCCTGCGCAGGACATGAGAAGAGAGGGGAGATGTTGCGTGCTGTCTTGCCTGTCTATGGGCTCAGTGTCCTCCTCTCACACACCGCCACATCAGCTATAAGGTTGTTTTTCTCTGCTTTAGAGAATGGACCTAAAGTTTGCTGATGATACAACGGTCATCGGTCTCATCCGAGACGGTGACGAGTCAGCCTATAGATGGGAGACTGAGCAGCTGGTCCTAAGGTCTAGTCACAACAACCTAGAGCTGAACACGCTCAAAACAGTGGAGATGACTGGACTTCAGGAAGAGCCCCCCCCACCTTACCCCCCCTCACCATACTTGGCAGCACTGTATCAGCAGTAAAGTCTTACAAGTTCTTGGGCTCCACTATCTCCCAGGACCTGAAGTGGTCATCCAACATCAGGACCATCATCAAGAAGGCACAGCAGAGGATGTACTTCCTGGTCCAGCTCAGGAAGTTTGACCTGCCCCAGGAGCTGCTGATACAGTTCTACAGAGGAATCATCAAGTCTGTTCTCTGCACCTCCATCACTGTCTGGTTTGGCTCAGCAACCAAACAGGACAAGTACAGACTTCAGCGGACAGTCAGGACTGCAGAAAAGATCATTGGTGCCAGCCTGCCCTCCATTGGAAGACCTGTACACCTCACGGGTCAAAAGGAGGGTGGAGAAGATTTCTGCAGACCCCTCACACCCGGGACACAATCTGTTCAAAATCCTCCCCTCTGGACTGCAATACAGGTCACTGTGCACCAAGACAACCAGGAACAAGGACAGTTTCTTCCCCCGGGCTGACACTCTGATGAACACTCGACCCACGACAGTATGACTGGACAATAAACCCTCAGTGCAATACCTGTATATATACATTGTACATACAGATCCCTCGAATGTATCTAGACTGTGTGTGTGTGTGTGTGTGTGTGTGTGTCTGTGTACACAGGTCTGTATTTAAGTACTTTATTTTTATTTTTTATCTCACTTCCTAATGCACATTCCTTTGTTTGTTTGCACATTTCTTCTTTACTTTCTGTTCTCTCAGCCTTATATTGCTTACTTGGCCTTTGCTATTGCTATATACAGTATAAGGATATAATAATAATTACCTTTATTTGGCCAAGTATGTTACACACAAGGAACATATCCAGTCAAATTCCTCGTGTGTCCAACACACCTGGGCAATAAAGCTGATTCTGATTCTGGACATGTGGCATGATGGTGGCTGCTTTACATATAGGAAGAAACTTTGGACAGAATTGGCAGGCACCAGTTTCAGCGACTGTTAAACACGCACTGACACACCTCTGTGCCTCTTGGCTTGCCACTGAAACTTGCATGCTGACTAACGTTAGCTGAATTGACTTGGAATATAATGTTAATGTTTTTCTTGAGACGAACGTTACTAATAATGTTAATGAGTTGGCTAGTTAGCTGGTGTGACTGAGGTGGAGATGCTGGTCAGCTCACCGTAAACGCAAATGTCAACTGCTGACTTATTAGCTAGCAAACAGGCAAATAACCGTATGTGATTGTTACTGTTAATATCAAATGGTCCGATAGGTGGACTGGTAATCTGGACAATGTACAATGCCAGAGCAGCCAGTCGGCCTTCTGTGTAGATGGCTGTCAGACCTACTACCATAAAACAGAGAAAGTGAAGGTATGTCACACTGTGTTGAATGTTGGGACAGGGAGCCATTTTGGGAGATAAGCATTGTCTTTACCTGCATACATTCTTGTTTTGTTTGCCTAAAAAGTTGTTTAAATCATTTAGATCTCACTTTACTGACTGTGGTAATTTAGAATGGATAACCCGTAAGAGCGACAGACTGAAAAATGACTGAATATTTTCAAATTAACTTAGATATTATGTAGTGTATATCTCTATGATAAATAATGAGCATGATCTTCAAAAATGGTGCAACCCAAAGTTGAACACAGTGTGATGACAGCTTCACATTCTCTATATACAGCCTAAGTTGACAGCACAGAAGCCAGTGATACTGTCCCACAATGATTCCTGTCATTTGCAATCATTTTATTAAGTTTAAAGGGCCCGTGGCATGCTTTTCCTTGTTTTCTGACTTATCCTCTAAGACCTGACCTAAAGATCAAATAAATGAGGTGAGCATATGTTCTAGTATTTGTATGCAAAAGTAACTCAGTTTATACACATCTTGCAAACTCTGGCTCACAAGACTTTTTTGTCTACCAAAATAAAGTATTATGTGATAGTTTAAGGATTTCCTTGAATGGGCATTAAATCCAGGCCACTGCACATTCATGTGAGCTTGCCTGACATGCACTGGTGCCCCCCACCATATTGGCTAAATGTTATACTGCCTTTTGTTTGTTATGCATGTTTTCAATAAAGCTTATCAAAAAATGAAAAACGACATCCACCAGTGCCATCATAAAAGTGGAATTTTTCGACTGCTGCTGGTTTTGTGGATATATTTTACCTCCTGCTGCACTGTGACCAGAGGATGTGGAGAAAAAATACAAGGTCTGAGGTTACTGCATGTCCAAGAACATTCCTGTACAGGGACTTATTTTTTTTCTACTTGGCCAGGTTTAACCTACAAGCAGCCGGCCAGTTAGTGATCAGCTCATCAACACTGGATTCCTCCAGAGCACAGTACCTGTTTGTTTTGACTGCTTGAGCTCAGTATGTCTGCTGCATGTGATGTGATGCTGGTTAATGAGCAGAATAACAACCCATGACATTATTGTCGTGCTACACTACCTGTTGGAATTCCACTACTTTGGGACTGTATGTGGGCATGTGGGGGAAGACACAGCCAACACCGGTTGGATTTACCGACCTTAGAGCCATTTGAAAGGGAGTGATTTCCACTACTCGTTGGGACTTAACGGTAAGTTTAAAAAAATAAAAAAAAAAACACAGGTTGCATGTCTGTTAATGCCTTGTTTCTGTAACATTAGAGAGGATTGTTGTAAGGCTGGAGAAATTACTATGTCTGCATTATGCCAGTTAAGCTGTGGAGTTTCTCAATTACTCGCTTTGTATAGAGTGTTACACATTTCTTTTCATCGCTACATATACTGTTGTTTACATATCTATGGAGGAGAAATTCAAATTAATGAATGCCATCGTGGTTCATTGCGCTGTCCACTTGCGATACAACATCGGCAGCAGGAGTTGTGTGCATTCACAAACTATCCTCTCATTTTTAGGAACAGGCTTTTTGGTTATATGATTCTGAAAAAATTATAGACTATTTGGAGTTATGAGGGGTGCAAAGCTAATCTAGAGGTACCCACGATTAAACATTAAATGGCTTGAAACAAGCAAAATAAGCATGACATGGACACTTTACCTTCCAGCCTAAGGTTCATTTGTTAAAGTGTGGAGGAAGCTGTCTATGAAGACAGGCGTGTGACCACCAGCTAATCATTGCACAATAAAATTTCAAAGTAGTTGGAGCATTGATATGTGGTCTTTTGAGTTGAAAAATTGGTTAGATTGTGTTTTTAAATTGATTTGTTCATAACTTGACTTGTTGTGAAAGTGTAAATATGAAACTCAGGCTGCTTGACAGCTGTTTTATATTACTATGAAATGCTGAATAGTGCAAAAAAAAAAGTGCAATACAGGGGCTAGAGTTTTATGCTGCAAAATCATGTTAAGAATGGTCTTAATGTATATTGAAATAAATATTTTCTTAAAAATTAATATCTCTACATTTTTACCTTTACCAGTAGCTGTTTCCACTTTAGTAGCAGCAGTATGGCAGTGGAATCGTGGGCTAAGCAAGGTTAGATCATATAGCACAATGGATGGCACATTTCTTTGATGCAGCAGACAGTCAAGAAAAATAATTGTCTGATTTGAGTAATGAGGGGTCTGTCTAGCAGTGCCCCTGGCTTTCTGTACTCTTTTTTTTTTCCCCAATCCCATCTGTAAGTCAATTTAATTTCTTTTGTTAGATCTACAAAAATTTCTTAGAGTTATAAGATGAAATTCTTTTTTAAACTGACAATCTAGACAATTCAAATTCAAGCATCACTTGAAAAAGTAATTTTTGTCCACCTAAAATATAAACTATATTTATAAAATAGAAACCACCTAGGAGACCCATAGTTTCTGGTATTAGAAGGCTAACAGAGTTTTGTAGATTACTATATAAAAGACGTTAAAGTCATATTAAAACAGCTCTGAGTTCTTAATATATCTTAAAGAACTCGCACCTTAAACCTTATCTATGGTGAGAAACAACCACTTTTCCCCATGCCTAAATCATTACAATGATGTAATTTACATGATTAATGTAATATTCATTTAAAAACTGAATTTCTGAAAAGAAAATTAATTTAATCTTAAACCTTACATCTATCAGAATTATCGGGGCTAAACTTCCTTGAAACTAAATCCTGTGATTGTTGGTCTTGGGGATGCCAGTCAGTCATATTCCCATGGGAAACTCTATTGTCATAAATTACCACTGAAAATTTTATATCAACCCTATAATAAAATCCATGAAAACACTTAAGTGCCAAATCCTTTGAGGTTTGTAGTTACTTGCCATAAAACCTTAAAACATGGCAATGCTTTGATCTTGGCAGAAGCGATGTGCAGAAAGTGGACATGTATTCAACCAGCTACTGACATAACATTACAGCAATATTCACTGTACCAGAGTGCAAACATGATAAATTTCTGGATGCCCACAGACAATTTAAGTGCCAGCGGCAAGGTGTACATCTGCTCTCTGTTGACACAGCGAGCCCATGATAAAGGTAAGTTAGCTAGTTAGCTGTTAGTAGGCTGCTGCCTATTTAGCTTTATAGACTATTATCATGACTGTTGTCAACACTTAAGATCATGAATTTAGTTTATCCAACAGTATGTGTCAGTCACATTTGTCATTAATATGCACATGGCATGCTTTTCCTTGTTTTCTGAATTATCTACAATGTTACAATGGTGAATTATCATTTTAAATGTGACCTGAAGCTCAACAAATGAGGTGTACATATGTTCTAGTATTTCTATGGGGAAGCAATTCAATTTATACAAGTCTCACAAACTCTCACTCAAGACTTTTTTTCTGACAATGCAAAGTCTTACACGACAGCTTAAAGAGCACATGGCTGCTCATTTCCAGCCATTTAATGTTTAATCTTGGGTACCTCTAGATTACCTTTGCACCCATCATAACTCCAAATAGTCTGATTATTTCAGAATGATAAAACCCGAGAGCCTCTTCCTAAAAACAAGAGGATAGTTCGTGAACGCACACAACTCCTGCTGCTGGTGTTGTCGAAATCCATTTCCCCATTGAGATGTATTTTTCCTAACCTGAATCCTAACATTATCCTAACTATATATATTAGTTCCTAGTAGAGTCCTGAGACTGTCAGATCCTTTTTGTGTTCTTTCATGTTTTCCTTATAATCTTCTGTACTATGTATTTTATGCTTCTTAATTTTGTTAATTTGCATAAAACATGTTGGTCTACATTTAGTTGTTTAAATCCTATACATTAAAAAAGTTGATTGATTGGTTGATTTAAATAAAAGAAACCTGACTTGATAAGTCCAAAACACTATAAAAACTCTGTGTAAGGAGTCTTGGTGTAACCATTGATCAAAATTTTAATGGCCACATCAAAACTGTAACAAAATTCTGGCATCTTTAAAAGAGCTATAATGAGAAACTTTCTGTTTAAGCAGGATTTAGAAAAGCTCTTTTTTTTTTTTCTTTTTTAGCAGGGTAGACTACTGTAATGCATTCCTGACTGGCCTCCACAGTAAGACCAACAGGCAATTGCAACTCATTCAAAATGCTGCTGACAAACACCAAGCAGAGAGAACACATTACTCCAGTGCTTAGATCTTTGCACTGGCTTCCAATAAAATATAAAATTTAATTTAAGTCTTTACTTATTGTCTACAAGTCTCTCAATGGCCGGGGCCCAAACTATTGCAGAGATACTGTATGTTTGCTGAGTACAAGCCTGGTAGGTGTCTCAGATCTGCAGGGACTGGTCACCCAGTGGTGCCCAGAGTTCCAACTAAACAAGATGAAAGTTCTTTTAGCCTGGAACCAGCTTCCATTAGAACTTAGTTCTGCCCAAACTTTGGCCACTTTTAAAACTAAGCTAAAGTTCCCTTTTCTGCTGCTTTTTATTTTTCTTAATTCCACCTTATATTGCACTTTATCTGCTTCTGTTTTTGCTTTTACTTTTCATCCATTAGCCAGTGACCAACTGACTTCATTGTGCTCTTTAGCTGACTATATCGACACTGATGTTTCTAATTCCCAGAAGAAAGTATGTCTACAGTCTGGTGTGATTTACTCAGAGGTTAATCTTGGGAAGACTGAAGCATGACATTATTATTTTAAACCTGACATAGCTTGACTACAGCATGCTATAGTGTAATATAACAGTTAACATAGAATCATTCGGACATTTCAATACATGTCAACATTTAAATGTAGCATTATGTCCAAACATATGCGTTATTATCAGAAAAATACTTTATTTCCTTTAAAATCGTTAGAACAACTTCTGATAAATCATTTGGGGGATGCCAGACTGCTCAGGAGATTGCCTTCATCCAAAGTTTGAGGCATTTTGGATCATTTAACAGGAAAGTGTAATATGACCTTTTACTATTCTGAACCTTATCTTTCCTATATTCTCTACACTAGAACCTGTCTGGGTGGAAGTTATTATGGGATATCAGAATAGGATGAATAGACATTTCTTTTTCATTTCTTTCTTCTTCTTCAGACTAGTGAGATTTCAGATTAGATGCTTGGACAGACAGAACCTGATAAGGCAGAGGTCTGATTGATTCCATTTAGGTTCAGTTGATTATCTGTGGTAGTTTGGTTGTTCAAGCTTGTGGTTAAATTTTACTGGGTAAACAATTGTTTATAATATGTAGAAATTATTACAGCTACTACTTGAGATAACCCAGGGTTAAGTGTGGATTAGGAGGGGCTAGGACAGAATTATTTCCACCTAGTTTGGCAAAAAACTGTGTACACTCACCATGGTGGGCAGGCGGATGGTGGCCAGGCTGCGGATCAGGGCCTGACTCAGGCCAGATAGCTCCAGGAATAAAGCCTTGTTCTTTTCCTCAATCTGTTTGTTCTCCTCCTCCATGCTCTTTAGGTTCTTCTCCATTGAAGATATCTGAAGCAGAGACAGACACAGAGCAGTTCTGAAGCAGCAACACTGAAAGCTTAACAATAAATTCAGAAATATTCATTAGCTACACTTACAAACATGCTGAGATTGGCAATTTATGGGAAAAAAAAATTTTGGGCTGCAGTTTTTTTTTTTTTTTTAGTTTTAGCACCACTGGATGGACGAGTGACTCAATACACTATATCCAGCTCTACAGTTAGTTATTGCCTCTGATCGATTTCAAACCAACAAAAAACAGCCTAGTGTTACACATCACATGGCAGTGTCTCCTGGATGTATTTTGAAATGTTATTCATCCTCATCCTGCATGGGGTACGCTGAGCAGCTGAGCCCACCTGAGTGTGCAGGTTCATCATGTCGGTCTCCAACTCTGAATTGGACTCATTCAGTTCACTGATCTCCTTGTTGAGCTGCTTGATGTCCTCATCATTGTCCAGAACTGGATGAACACACAATTAGCAAACAGACTATCAAGACAACTGCCAATCTTGTCTACTCTTGCTGTCACAGATTTCTGTCACAAGCAACATACAGTATACCTGTGGGCCAAACGTTGTGCTGCATGTAGTGACAAGTGTATTTAACTGTTGTCTATAATAAAACTGAGTTTTATGCTTTGATGTCTTCATGTGTTAATAGTAACTAGGATAGGATACACATGAGACATACTAATAGACAGAGGGGGAGTACTGTTGCTTACCATCACTGGCTCTGAACTTTGCAGTGATATATTCATCTCCAGAGAACTTGGTTCTCTTCTTGTTGGCTGAAGCTCTAGGACAACCTGACAGACTGAGAGAAGCAAGTGATCAGAATCAATCTTAAATTTAAAGTAAAAAAGCAAAAGAAAGGAGAGGAACTTGGAAGTAAACTCAAACAAGTCATCTGGTAAAAAAGGTGGTGCTCTTTGGTAATGGGTATGTAGTTTTGGAGATCAGCAAACAAAAAATTCAATACAAGACATTCATCTTATAAAAATAGTTAAAGTTAAAATGCCTTTAATTAAGTTGACATGTTCATTGAACAAGGTATTAAAAAAGAGATTACAAAATCTCCAAGGCTTGTGGAGCATAAATATGCTCTTGGAACTCTTAGGGCTATGAATGAAGACTATACCATGGCCAGACAAAAACATAATAGTAACCCATCTATTCTGAAAGCTATAGTCATTGATCATAATTCAGAATCTATACATAAAGGGAATATAATTAAACTGCTTAAACAGAGGGAATGTTTTCAGATATTTAAGCTCAAGGCCACTCAATATCTAGGCCTGAATGAGCATTTAGATTTAACATATTTTGTGACTATATGGTTTTTCTATATGGTTTCTATGTGTCTTCTTTCTTTTTTCTCCCCTCCCCTTTTTGAGTGAGAAGGACGGAGATGCTAGCTGTCTTACTAAACTGGTGATGCCTTGATGACTTCACCTGTTGTTCATTAGTGTTATTTACTCAAATAGTTTCACTTGGATTGTTTGTTGTATGTTGTAATTTCCTGAAGGTGGTTAGATGTGGAAACATTTCAAAGTTACTTTTTAAATCAGAATCAGAACCAAAATCATCTTTAATGGCCAATTATGTTGATCATAAAAGGAATTTGACTTCAGTACAGAAGCTCTGTGTGTTTGTAGGCAGCAGGGAATAGAAAATAACAATAAAAACAAAAACCAAAAAAGAAAAAGAATAATAAATAATGTGTGCATTCAAATAGGAATATGTGCAATCAAAAATAGGAAAGGAATGCGAGAAAAAGAGAGAAAGTATTTCTAAATATATATATACACTGTACATTATGGCAGAAGTGTCAGGTCATATACTGGGCTCTGCCTCTCCCGTCCATGGTGATCAGGGCAGAGCTGACTGAGCATGGCTTGGAATTGCCGGTGCAGCTGTTGCCAATTCATCACCTGGCCACAGAGTATTTAGCCTTGGCTTGGCTTTCTTTTCCTTGCAAGTCTATTCTGCAGTACTTGCACTGGCTGACCACGTCTCTCTTTCTTAGAGCTTGGTAATTTTTGTTTGTTGATCTTCAAAACCTTCAAATTTTCCTGAGGTGTACACCATACAGTTTACTTTCTACTTAACAGTATATTTAACATTTTCTTTAACAACAGTAATAGAAAATGTATGTGTAATTTCACTACAATAATTAAGGTCCTTAAACCATTTTTGGCATCTCTGCAATTTTGTTGCTAGATGACCCAGTCTTTTTTTTTCTGGAGCCCTCTGTGTTGCTCTCCTTGTGCTGCTCTGTTGGACTGGTCTAATTCAATGAGAGTTCTACATTTTTTTCCTCACAGGGTTAATGTCAGTCTAAACGTGACCTTAGTCAATTCACCATGAACCTGTTGCACATTTAGTGAACTTTATGGTCTCAAATCAGATCACAGATTTGCCCAATTGGTAATTCTTTCATACTATGACTCTACATCATGGTTGGTTACCAAAGGAAAACAAGTGACTGTGTAGCTGTCATCATCAATTTGTCTAAATTGTAGTTTGTTTATACTTATTAAGTGTGAATGAGCATTTTTACTATGGTTATCTATACCTGATGTACCTTGAAGGGTAATAAAATACAAAGTGGTCTGTCCACACCTCCTATGTGAACTCAACGAAATTGGGATAAATGGCATTTAAAACTTTTAATCTGCATTGCTGACAACTGAGTATGTGGTGTATGTCCTTGAGCATTATTTTAGATCCTTAATTGAAACCCCATGTAGACCACCCACAATGAACTATCAGAAATGAGCTTTTCCTGTTACCACAGTATAAACGGACCAAGATTGCCACCTCTGTACTATACACCATGCAGTATGCATTTTGCCCATGGTTCTGCTAGCATGAAACAGCCGAATTCAGTCCATTATTACTTTGAGATTACACTCTAAGTTGTGTTTGGCATAACACTGCTTTCTGTGTGCTGAAATTCTCCAATATTCCTGATACCTGCGATGTGTCAGGAAACTGCCGTTAGCATGGCCAGAACCATCACAGCCTGGTGTTGGGCAAGTTGGGCCCTCGGTTTTGAAGGTCTTCCAGGAAAAAGGAGTGCCATTCAGAAGACCTTCCTTCTGCCGACGTGCTGCCAGTGGACAACCATAGGCACTGCGGTGGGTGGCGTACTTCCCACTGATGTGGCCCAGACTGTCACAGCCAGGAACTGGACACCTGAAGGTAGGCAGAACACACTGGTTTGATGGTCGTTGACAGGGACCAGAAATGGACCTGTCAAGAGGCTATCAAAAAAACCTAAAACACCTAATTTTGATGTGCATTTTGAATATTTTGTGTTTTATGTTTAGAATTACTATAAAAAGCAGGGATGAAGGAAAAAAAACAATAGGGATTAATTTGGGAATCACTTGTAAATGTTCCAGAATTTTTCATAAAAGACAACTGTCACATCAAATGCAGGTGAGTGAATGTATGATTAATAAATGAATTACTTAAATACATTGGCAAGAAAAAGTGAGCAAATTGTTGGATTTACCTGCATTAATGTATAAATATTTCTTAAAAAATGATCCTGTGACCATAATGAACAATTTATAAATCATTATATTGTTCTTGAACATACTGAATAATTGAAACATTACTAAACATATTGAATAACATAAAATGTTGGCAGTGTCGGTTGGCCTAACGACTGAGTGGTGGTGCTGAATCCAGCTTGCTCTGGCGTACAGTAATGCATACATAGGCAATGATATTCTCACGAGACTGAGCCACTGCAGGTGTTCTCCAGTGACTGCATGAACTTGGGGCATGATTGTAAAGGCCTGTCTTTCACCTGATCTAAGAACACCACACAACAAAAGAACAAAATTGGTCAGAGTTCAGAGAAGAGTCCGCAAAAAACAAACGAAGGTGCCAGAAGACCAACAGTTGAGTCTATAAGGGAGCCCCCTAAAACAAACAAAAATACAGTCATGTAGGGGATGTCCCAGGAGAACAGGCAGAATCTGAGGACAAACACAAAAAAAGATAGTTCAGACTCTGACAGCACGAAAACCATGTTGGATGGGAACTCAGGGCCAGGCAGGACCCAGAGGCCCCTCGAGGCAGAAGATCCTGAGGCCAGAAAAGAAATGCTGGGATGGGACAGGACACTGAAGAGGCCGCTCTGGCTGACGACCTCTGAGTCAGGCATGAGGCTGGCGAAGCCATTCAGGCGGACATCCTCGAGACCAGGCAGGAGTCCGAGGGAGCTGTGCAGGTGGACATCCTCAAGACCAGGCAGGAACCAGGGAGGTCATTCTGGTGGACAACCGCTGGATCAGGCTGGAGGTTGGCAAAGCCATTCAGGCGAACATCCACAGGACCAGGTAGAAGGACAAGGAGGCCATTCTGGTGGACAACCTCTGGACCAGAAAGGAAACTTAGGAGTCCACTCAGGAGGATGACTCTTGGACCAGGCTGGAAGCTGAGGAAGCTGTTTGGGTGGATGACCTCTGGACCAGACAGGAAGCCGAGAAGGTCATTCTGGTGATCGACCTCTGGACCAGACAGGAAGTCGAGGGGTTCACACAGGAAGATGGGCTTAGAACCAGGCAGGATGCCAAAGATTCCCACCAGGAGGGCGGTCACTGACCCAGACAGGGAACTGAGAGGACTGCTCCAGAGGTTGGCCTCAAAACCAGGCAGGCAGGCAGTACAAAGGGCCATTGCGGAGAATGGCCCAGGTGCCATGCAAGGAGCAGAGGAGACCGTTCAGGACGAGCCCCTTGAAGCTGAGCAGGAGGATGATTTTGGGACCTGACAGGAAGCTGGAGAGGCCGATCTGGCAGTGAAGATTGCCCCGGCAGATGGTCTAAAGGTCCATAGGGAGACTGGAGACGCCGCTCAGGAGGGCGACCTTGGAAATGAACAAAAAACTGGAGAGGTCACTCAGGAGGACGGCCTTGGAACCAGGCTGAGAGCTGAGGAGGTCGCTTGGGGGGGCAACCTCGGAACAGAGCAGGTGGTTGGCATTAGTGGAGAACCAGCACTATGAATTTTTAGTGGGTGCAAAGACAGTTTATAGTTGTGTGTATGATTTGCATTTAAGCAAAATGTGTTGTGACTTAGGTGAAGGTCAGATCACATTTTATGACAAATTGATGCAGAAAACCAGGTAACATCATCGGATTCACATACTCTTTTCTTGCAGCTGTATTTTAAGTGGACTGTAAAAGTTTCACTATCAACCTTTTATTAGATCAGAATCAGAATCAGCTTATTTGGCCTGGTGTGCCGGACATGAGGAATTTGACTCTGGTACAGTGGCTCGCAATGTGCATGTACATATCCCCATGCCAAGGTGGGGGGCTCTCTTTCTGAAGTCCAGTCATCTCCACTGTTTTGAGTAGTATAACAAAATAAACACTATAAACAAGCAATAAACAATGCAAACAATGCAAAGCAAACAGTATAATCAAGCAGTAAACAATGAAGTCAGACAAATGAATGTTCATTGGGAGACGAGATACAAATACAATAAAAATGGAGCACTTAAAAATAGAACTAGAGACCTGTACAAATCTGTATAATATATATATTTACTTGTATTGCACTAAGGGTTATTGTCCAGTCATACTGTCATGGGTCAAGTGGTGCTGCTCAACCTCCCGTCTGTAGGCTGACTCGTCACTGTCTCAGATGAGACCAATGATTGTTGTATCATCAGCAAACTTTAGGAGCTTGACAGAGGGGAGATGATTCCTCTGTAGAACTGTATCAGCAGCTCCTGGGGCAGGTCAAACATCCTGAGCTGGCACAAGAAGTACATCCTCTGCTGTGCCTTCTTGGTGATGGTCCTGATGTTGGATGACCACTTCAGGTCCTGGGAGATAGTGGAGCCCAGGAACTTGTAGGACTTTACTGCTGATACAGTGCTGCCAAGTATGGTGAGGGGGGGTGCAAGGTGGGGGGCTCTCTTTCTGAAGTCCAGTCATCTCCACTGTTTTGAGCGTGTTCAGTTCCAGGTTGTTGCGGCTACAGGACCGACTACTCAACCTCCCGTCTATAGGCTGACTCGTCACTGTCTCAGATGAGACCAATGATTGTTGTATCATCAGCAAACTTTAGGAGCTTGACAGAGGGGACCATCAAGATGCGGTCGTGTGTGTAGATGAAAATAGCAGAGGGGAGAGCACACATCCCCGGGGGGCGTCTGTGCTGTCTGTCCAGGTCTGTCAGAAAGCTAGTGATCCACTGACAGGTGGGGGCAAGCAGAGTGAGCTGGGTCAGTTTGGAGTGGAGGATGTCAGGGATGATGGTGTTGAATGCTGAGCTGAAGTCCACAAAGTGAAGTTGGGGGCCAGCTGATCAGTACACACTTTCAGGCAGGAGGGGGTCACACCATCTGGGCCTGGTACCTTTCTGATCCTTTGTTTTTTTAAAGAGGCCTTGCACATCCTTTTCACAGATCATTAGAGGTGGGGGGCTGGGGGGAAGGGTGGTAATTGTCAGGGGAGCAGCTGCTGGGTCCGAGGTGGGGAAGGTGAGGGGGGAGTGTTTTTTTTTTTTGTCAAACCTGCAGTAGAACACATTCAGGTTGGCTACCCGTCAATGCTTTTGATGCTGTTCCATACAGACGACAGGTCATTGGCTGACACCTGGTTCCTCAGCTTTTGAGAGTAGCTCTTTTAGTTAATTAAAGGCAAACTGGGATTCAGTGTCATACCCAAGGACCCTTCAACATGTGGACCACAGACACTGTGAATTAAACCTCCGACCTTCCAGTTGGGACAACCGCTCCTTCCCTGAGCCACAGCTGCAGCTATGTAATGTAATGTGTGTGTGTCACATAGTCATCACATAGTTTGTGTTACTATATGAACTAGGTTTTATAACCATATAGAGTTGGCATTTTCAGTTTTTTTTATTCAGTGTTGGATCTAAAAAAATCAGGACCCAAGAATCGCTTGATTTTGCTGATTAAACTAAAAATAAATTCACGCCTTTAGCACATGAATATACCCAGTGTCTATGATGAGATATTTTTGCAAACCTGATAGTTTTGAGTGTGGTCTTAGAGGAAAGATTATGTAGGACCCGCCAAAGAGTAAGTTTCATCTCTGAGGAGCGTGAATGTGTTTATCAAATTAAATTTCTTGTGCGGAAATTATAAATATCCACAATAAGTTTCATGAAAAGTGAGAAGCTATTGACCACTTAATTATTAATAACCCTAATCCTCTGCCAGCCTTGGGACTGTCAGTCTAACATTATAAATGAATTTCTTGGATGGTAAAAGCTAATGAACTACTGTTCACCTCAACAGCTCAGAGTCTTCCTTGTCATCCTTGGTGGGGGTTGATTTGACCCCACCTTTTTTGGCTCGAGGGCATCCCGACAAACTGGCAAAGAGGAACAGAGAGGATCAGTCACAATATCATCCATACAGAGTAACTGATGGTGAAGTAGGAGGAACAGGAGAAGAGTACCTACCTTCTATGTGAAGCATAGTTTCCAGTGATGTGGCCTGATCCATCACAGCCTGGAGTTGGACACCTGAGACACACACACAGTCACTCTCACTTTACAAGCACACATGATCTGTATATAGATGCCATGTCAAGCTTGTGAAATGTGTCAATGCCACCGCCATTTTGGAGCAGGATTCTGACCAGCTCAAACAAAAGAAAATGCTAGACTTTGTGATGCTTTTGGATGTTCTAATGAAAGAAATTCCAAAACTAAGCAACAGAGAAAAGTAATTTTAGTGTTACAAAGTGTTTAATTTTATATATCTCAAGTAATCATTCTTTTAAGCAATTAAAAAGTGATATCCTTATACAAGTCTAAACTATATTATACTTAATATGTATCTGAGCACTATATAAAATAGATAAATATTTCACTAACAAGTATTATCAAAAATACAAGGAATTTGACTCCAGCCCAATGGCCCCCAGTGTACACAGCAATATAAAACAGATTAAAACCAAAACCACAAGTAAAAAAACTGACAAAAAATGTACACACATACATACAGTATTTACAAGTTAAAAGAGCTACTGTAGCTAATGTACATCAGTACGTTGTTACACAAGTAATGTATACAACATCCTGCCAACTGTTAAACATAGATTATCTGTTCATAAGTGTGATGGCCTGGGGGAAGAAACTGTCTCTGTGTCTAGATGTTTTGGAGTACCTAGAGTCTAGAGGGGAGGAGTTCAAACAGACTATGTCCAGGATATGAGGGGTCTGCAGAAATCTTCTCTGCCCTCCTTTTGACCCGTGAGGTGTACAGGTCCTCCATGGAGGGCAGGCTGGCACCAGTGATCTTTTCTGCAGTCCTGACTGTCCACTGGAGTCTGTTCCTATCCTGTTTGGTTGCTTAACCAAACCAGACAGAGATGGAAATGCAAAGAACAGACAAGATGTTTCCTCTACAGAACTGTATCAACAGCTCCTGAGGCAGGTTAAACTTCCTGAGCTGACGCAGGAAGTACTACATCATCTGCTGCGCCTTTTTGATGATGGTACTGATGTTGGTTGTCCACTTCAAGTCCCAAGAGATTGTGAAGCCCAGGAACTTGTAGGACTCCATGACTGAAACAGTGCTGCTGAGTATAGTGAGCGGAGATACAATGGGGGAGCTCCTCCTAAAATCCACTATCACTTCCATTGTTTTCAACATGTTCCCCTCCAGGGTGTTATGACCCCAGCACAGGGCCAGCTGTTCAACCTCCTGCCTATAAGCTGACTCATCACCATCTTGGATGAGGTAGATGACCGTTGTGTCATCTACAAATTTCAGGATTTTTTTCAGAGGGGTCTCCTGAGGTGCAGTCATGAGTATAGAGGGAGAACAACAATGAGGAGAGCACACATCCCTGAGGACCACCTGTGCTGATAGTCAGTGTGCTGGATGTGGTTTTCTCCAGCCTCACCTGCTGCTTCCTGTCAGAAAGCTGGTGATCCACTGACAGGTGGGGGCAGGCACAGTGAGCTGGGTTAATTTGGAGTAGAGGATGTCCAGGATGATGGTGTTTAATGCTGAACTGAAGCCCACAAATAGTCTGAGCATAGGTCCCTGGTGAGTCAAGACGTTGCAGGATGTAATGCAGTGCCATATTGACTGCATCATCCACTGACTTATTTACTTGGTAGACAAACTGCAGAGGATTCATGTGGGGGTCTGTGATGGCCTTCAGGTGGGCCAATACCAGTCTCTCAAAACACTTCATGACTACAGATGTCAGAGTGACAGGTCTGTAGTCATTCAGTCCCCCATGGAGCGTTTCTTGGGAACTGGGATAATGGTGGAACATTTAAAACAGGAGGGAACTACACAAAGCTCCAGTGATGTATCGAAGATCTACGTGAAAATGGGAGCCAACTGGTCAGTACAGACTTTCAGACAGGAGGGGGTCACACTGTCTGGGCCTGGTGCCTTTCTGATTTTTTAAAAAAGGCTTTGCACATCTTTTTCACAGAGGTGGGGGCTGGGGGAAGCAGCTACTGGTTGCAAGTCCAAGATGAGGTGAGAGATGGGTGTAGAGTTCTTCTTTTCAAACCTACAATAATACTCATTGTTTATCAGCCAATTGATACAGTAGTTCTCCACAGCACGGGTGGGGGATGTCTTCTGTAACTGGTTCCACAGACTTCTCCACACAGACGACAGCTCATTGGCCAATTTTTTCAGCCTTTTGGAGAAGCTGCTCTTTGCTACTTTGATCTCCTTTGGCAGTGTGCTTCTAGCCTGGTTATACAGGGTCCTGTCCCCACTCCTCTTTGACATGATGGAGCTGTTTTAGCTTCACTGTGAACCAAGGTTTATTGTATTATGTGCAGAGAGTCTTAATGGGCACACACATGTCCTCACAAAAGTTCATATATGATGTCAGTGTCAGTATAGTCATCTAGGTCTTGTAACTGCAGCCTCAAAAACACCCCAGTCTGTATAGTCAAATCAGGCCTGTAGCTTTGACTTTGCCTCTTCAGCCCATCTTTTTACCATTTTGACCACAGGCTTTGCAGTTTTAGGTTTCTGTCTGTAAGTGGGAATGAGGTGGATCATGCAATGGTCCAAAAGCCCAAGTGCTGCATGGGGAACAGAGTGACAGGTGTCCTTAATAGCAGTATACCAACGATCCAGTGCGTTTTTTTTACCTGGTGGGACAACTGACATGTTATCTGTATTTGGGCAATTTGTGGGTAGGGTTTGCTCTGTTAAAGTCCCTCAAGATAATGAGCAGGGAATCTGGGTGTTTCTCTTCTATACTTATTATCCGGTTGGCTAGGAGCTGCAATGCACTTTTGATGCAGGTCTGTGGCGAAATATAAGTACGAACCAGGATAAATGAGAAAAATTCTCTAGGAAAATAAAATGGTTTACAGTTAATGAATAAGTCCATATTACAAGTTCTCTCCAACACTGTGACATCTGTACACCAACCTCCATTAATATAGAAACAGATTCCTCCTCCTCTCTTTTTTTCAGGTTATTCCTTCACAAGGTCTGCTCTGTAGATCTGAAATCCTGGCAGCTGAACAGCCTCATTGGGGATCGAGTTGTTAAGCCACATCTCCACAGTATAATGCCGCAGAATGAGAAAAGTCAGAATTAGTCTGATTGATGAGCTGGCCAGAAGTGAGGTTTGGTAAGCCCTCTGTCATAGCTTTACGAGGGCGCCAGCCCTCTTCCCCCTCTGGCGTCTCCTCCATGTCCCGAAAACAGCTGCTGCTAGCTCTACCAGCTAAAATGTCCAAACAGAAAAAATGTCCAGACTGAGCTGTCGGATGTTCAGGAGCTCATCGCTAGTAAAAGTAATCTGGGCAGGGTTGCAGATTTGATTTGATTTATTCTTTCAAGCATGTAAAAACAGTTGATATGACAACACACATAATTTTACACATATCCAATATCAATTTGCTTATACCTAGTACATGCTTGAATGGAGTAGGAAGAAGTCAGACTTATCCAGTCCTACCCCATGACATCATCTTACCATCATTGGTTTGCAAGCAGTAAATGATTCACTTCTACCCACACAAGTATTATGCTAAAAAAAAAAAAAAAAATTATAACAGTAAGACTATAACATTCTTACATAATTACATTCTTAAATAATTATCTTCTACACCACACAAGTAATATACTAAAGAATTATTACAAAGTGTACATCACACCCACAATTGTCCATATAATTAATCATTGAGCCTGTTCTTGCATATATCTTGATTCACACATACCTTTATATTTATGTTTAAACTCGTCAATTCTATTACTATTTTTTATGGCTACACTCAAACTGTTCCATAGTTTTACCCCGCTTATGGAAATACAAAATCTTTTTTTGGTTGTACGTATAGCATG